TATTAGACACTGGCCTGGGCTCTGCAGATTCGGCACAGAACCAGACCCTGCTGTCTTACTCAGTTGAGGAAGTTAGACAAGCATTTAGATATAAAATGGAAAAAGTGCCAAGTGGGAAAGCAAGTCACTGGGTGAAAAGGGATGTTGTTTTAAAGGCCACACAGGTAATGGACTTTTGAAAAGTGGGTGTGAGCCATTGCAGGTGGGCAAGTTTTTCAGGCGTGTTGTGCTTTGGACAAAAGCCACAAGTGAGACCTATGTGGTACTAAACCCTTTGGTCATTTCTGTCCTTACTTGGTTGGCAGCAGTTGACACTTAATTGTCATTCTGTGGAAATGCTTTATTCCTTTTACTTCCAGAGATTCCAGTCTTGTGTTTTTCTTCTTCTCTATCGGCTCCTTCTCAGTCTGCTTTGTTGGTTCCTCCTCAGAACCCATTCTCTTAATGTTGAGGAGACTCAGGACTCAGTTGCTCTTTTCTATATCTGTGCTTTGTAATAGCAGCTAGTCCAGTCTGAGGGCCTCAAATGTCCAACTGCTGTTACCTGCTATACTTGGGTGTTTGAATAGGCATCTCAAACTTTACATGGCTCCAAACCAAACTTCTGACATCCATGTCCAACTCTAACCTTCCCAGTTCTCTGTGGCCTTGCCTGTTTCAGTCACTGGCGAGTGAGCGTGTCTTTTTGGCTCTGCCTGCCTTCCAGTATGATCAGTTGCACTGGCGCCTCCACCAATTTCTGTCACTTGAATGGTTACAGTTACAGCTCCTTGTTCCCTTCCCCGCCCCTAAACACCTGCACTGGCTTCCCTTCTCGTTCAGATTAGAAGCCAGCGTTCTTGCCATGATTCCATATGGGCTGGCCAGTTATTTTAATCATACCAGGCATGCACCTGGTTCAGGGTACCTGTTTGGTTTTTTTTCCTTTTTTCCCTCTTCCTGAAGGCTTCTCTCACACATACCTAGATGGCTGTCCGCATCACTCCAATGTCTCCTTGGCCATCTTGTTCATACCTATAATCCCCTTCTCTCTTTTCCCTGGTTTATTTTTGTCTGTTGGACTTGATATCATTTGATGTGTTCCAGGAGGGTCACCTACATAAGCTGACGGACAGGATTTTGTCTGTTATACCGAGTGCTGCTCTAGCACCTTTTATTTCTGGATGGTTAAATATTAAAGTGAATGATGTGAGCTTGCTTTGCATGCTAGAAATAACAAGGAGGCTGGTGCGAGTAGAACTGGGAGCAGAGGAAATGTGATAAGAGAAAAGGCAAGTGAGGTGTGGGGTGGGTGGAGAGTCGGATCTTTTTGTGGGTCATGGGAAGTCACTGAAGTTTTTAGAGCAGAATTTAGTCATTGGTGTGCTTTGTGACTTTTACTGGGTTTCATAAAGTCTGCCTAACAAGCGTGGAGCACCTGTTGTGTGCCTGGTGCTGAACATTGGGTTGCAGAGGTGAATAATTGATGGGGCCCTTTCTCTGACGTTCAGTTTTGGGGTGGTAGGACACCTCTTTAGACTTTGCTCTCAGCCCTACTTGGAATGGCCATCACTTAACCGAACATCTGACCATTTCTGCCAGTAGCAAAGTTTTGCTTTTTCACCCCTTATTTAAGTGAACGCTTCAATGAAGTTCAGATGGTTTCATGTACCCTTATGTAAACAGCGCGTTAATAGTACCTAGTTCCGAGTCAGGACGCACAGGAGTTGATGATGGCGCCTGACACAGGCATGAGCTCCATGGAAGTAACTTGTCCATGTCATACTTTGTGAGATCTATACATTGTAGGCCCCTGCTCTTGAGGCACAGACCAAGTTAATGGCCTTAGCAATTGGTATTGACTGCTCTCCCAAAACATGCTGTGTCTGAAGGTGTGACAAATAATTATATTTTGATCTGGGGGTGCTTGCTGTATTTATACTGTATACAGTGTTATATGCTTTATATTCAAGCATATTTAACATCATTATTTGATTCGCCTTCACAGGCGATATTAGAGCTTGGGCTGTTTTTATCAGGAGAGGGTTGAGCAATGGGTATATCAGCATAACTTAAATGATCATATGCAGAGCCCTTATCCTACATTGCTGAAAGTGGATTGGGCATCATCTGTGTCCCGAGTATTAGTTGCTGGGCATTAATTACATGCTAGTGGGGAAAAAAGGATTGATCCTGCCTTGTTAAAAGTTTGGTTTAGAATTCTTTTATGAAAATAGGACATAAGTACTTCGATTTTTTGTACTCCATTAATTCATTTATTATGTCCGAATCGCAGGGGTTTCAAGAAGCGTGCCCCTCGGGCACTCAAAGAGATCCGGAAATTTGCCATGAAGGAGATGGGAACCCCAGATGTGCGCATTGACACCAGACTCAACAAAGCTGTCTGGGCCAAAGGAATAAGGTGCTAAAGTAATCTGTGTTAGAAGATGAACCTTTGAAATTACACTAGCTTACCCAGCTCACTGCGCAGTCTATATAAATAGTTCGGTAATTAGCTAATATACATGGACGTATAAAAAACAGTGTGGCAATAACTCAGAGGGTGGGGTAGCACCTGCAGGGAAGGCCTATGACATGGTATTTGAAATGAGACCCAAATGATGAAGCCAACGGGGTGAGGGACGGGTAGGAGCATTGCACAGAGAACAAACTGTGTGATCTGGGAACAGGTCAATGGAGGTGGAGTCAAATAGGATGGAGAGTGAGGCAGGGGACAGATATGTGGGATCTTGTAGGACATGGCAAAGAGTTTGGATTTTTCTCTAGAAACTTGGAGCACTGGTTTCCAACTGTGGGCAATGTCAATAGTGCCGAGGTTGAAAACCCCTGCATAGAAGCAGGAGGGTGGTTTTTGCTGTGGAGGACGATGTAAGGTGTCAGGGTGGAAGTGGGACCAGCCAAGGGAAGAGGCACTGGCACGGGCTAGGTGATACCATGAGACTGAAACAGGCGGGGTGCAGCATTGGGGTGGTTTCCAACATTGGGGCTGGATGGGATGGCAGGGACCTGAGATTGAGTCCTGCAGAGTGGGCTGGCATTTAGAATTCTGAAATGTGTCTAATAAAGGAGCCGCCAATGATGGCTGCTTTGACATCAGGGAGGAGTGGTGTCATGGGAGCCCAGAGTAGGCCCGAATTTCGAGACACTTCACATCCTGAGACCAGTACAAGGAAATGCAGTTCACTGTGATGCTGCTGAGGGTTGTGTGCATAAGAGAGGGAAACTGGACATATAATAGTCTTACGTTTAGTAGGGCCTGCTGAGTTAAATTTAACATAGGCAAAGCCCATTACCATGATGTCTGTGCTGGTGATAAAGGGGGAAACCTGGCGTGTTCAGTACGGATTTCCACATAGGTTGAATGTCAGTGGTGGCTGCCTATTAGGATAGGTGTCCATCCTGATGAGTGTTTGGTAAACATCTTCCTGTGGGTGCGTTTATTTTCCAGGGAACTCAGAGACACCTGTAATGGCTGGTGGTCAGGTTAGAGCAAAAGACAGCATAGTGCAGTGGGGACAGGATGTGTGGATACAGTTGGTGGCTATTTTCGTGAGAGGAGAAATTGACTTTAGCAGCACATTTATATTTTTATTAGGAATGTCCCATACCGTATCCGGGTGCGGTTGTCCAGAAAGCGTAATGAGGATGAAGATTCACCAAATAAGCTCTATACATTGGTTACCTATGTACCTGTCACCACTTTCAAAAGTAAGTTTTATTCCATTCCACAAAGCTGTTTAGATTAGAAGAACCTCGTTAGCTCTTCTATAATCTGAATGTATCTGTCCAGCAAATGCTGTACCTCCCCCCCCCCCATATGCCTGGCGTCCTTCCTGTAGGGTATGAGTAACAGGCATGACCACTAAACCTTTTTTGTCGTGGCATGAGAAAACGCAGGACACAAACTGGGTCCATATCTGGGTTGTAACAAGGTCACAGCGAGTACTATTACTTGCCTAGACCTTTCAGGAAAAGGTTTTTTGAGTGTTAAATGTATGAAACATGATGTGGGTATGGAAGGTGACTATCTTTGTCGCTTCTTTTGCAGATCTACAAACAGTTAATGTGGATGAGAACTAACTGCTGATTGTCGAATAAAGTTATAAAACTGCCTTTGAGGTTTGGTTTTCAGTTTCTAATTGCAGTGTGATAATGTTTGTATATCTCAAAGTAGTTCCAATTACAGAATCATTGGGGGAGCTTTCCTAAATGACTACGTGTTCTGTCCCTTATCCCCAGCCCCTGGAGTTTCTGAAAACCTGCTTTAGGCTCTGTCCAAATATTCAAAGTGATTTTGAAGGGTAGCCTGGCTCTAGGACGACTGTTTAGGTAGTTGGTACATTGGAGGTATATATAATGTTGGTGCTTTCACGTGCATGCTTCATTAATTCTAAGATAAACTTTTTCCAGAAACTGGCATGTAGAACTCAATTGCCATTGGCCATGTTTCATATCAACAAATTAAAATGATGCAATTAACAGCATCTTAGATTTAATGAAATGCACTTGGTAGTGTCCTTAAACTTCTGCCTGTAACTATTGAGTATGATGGTCAAAAGGTATAGAATTGTCTCCTAAAAAGTTGATTTTTGATGGGGTAACCAGATTATGTTTAAGTTACATATACAGTTAATAGTTAATACTTACGCTCACTTGTAAGGACCCCATGAGGTATTTTTAGTCCCAGTTTACATGGAGCTAAAGCTGAGAGGTAAAGCTTCTTATACAATCCAAAATCTGCTGAATTCAGCCTAAAAGCAAGGCTGTTGCAAGGATTATATTACATTAGTGTTTACACCACTGTGGGTCTCTGCAGAAGCCCTGGTGGTGGTGGTGGTGGTGGCAGTACACAGCCCAGGGATGGCTGAGGACCACCCGTAGTGCTGCTGAGAACAAAGGCCTTGGGGAGGAGGCGAGGGAGTGGACAGCTCCAGCTCATCTGGTCACTGGCACAATCCAGGCCTTAGTCACTCAAATAACTGTCAGGTATAAACAAGGAACAAAGTCAATACAAAAATTTCTTATTAAAAAACTTGGGAGGCCAACATTGAAAGCATGGTTTGTACACAACATTTTTGTAAGGACAAAGTGAATACAATCAAATATATTAAAATGGTTTCAATTACCAGCATTGAAACAAAATTAGTGCAAAAAAAAAAAAGCGAAACAATTGCACAGATCGTGGCTCTTAGATCTTGAAAGTGAACTTGATTCCTGACCTCCCAGTATCTGAATGAAAACGAGCTGGGGCGCCACTTTGTCCCTGGGTTAGCATGACACACTGGGCTCTTACGTTCATCTGAGAACAATCACAGCAGAAGTGCCCATTTCAGCAGATCTGATCAAAGTGAAACTGATAATTCTAAAAGAATAAATAGAAGTGCCTGTGGGTTGCATCAGCTCCCTGGGCCACAGTTGGGGCTGTCAGGTGGTTGCTTACCTGGATACCCAGCATGTGAAAATATACTCACAGGGGGTTAGACTAACGTCTGGGTTTATGGGCTGACAGCCCATGAGGCTGTCATCCGTGCTTTGGTATGGCAGGCCCGTCTCCTCAGCAAACCACTATCCTGCTTGAGTTCAGGCTGTGATTGGCTGCTCATTTCAAAAGTTTTGAGATTGTACTGATTGAGCTTGGCATTTTCAAGTTTGGATTTAATGTCCAGTGGCTTTTCAAAAAAGTTGACTAATGACTGTTCAGTCAGAAGTGAAGCTAAAATATGTTCAAGGGAGACAGTCCAGTCCCCTTCTGCCTCTTCAGGGAGTGCCCCGGAGTCCTGGGGGGTTGTCTCGGTGTCCGTGTCTGCAAAAACCGAGTCCTGCTCAGGAGACAGCGCTGCAACCTGCAGCTCCCCCCCACCCTCCTGGGAGAAGCTTCCAGAGCTGTTGCTTCGCTGCCCCACTTCCCCAATTTGCAGCAGCAGAGTGGTTACTGTGGCAATGGCCTGATACAGATCATTTTCTTCTGGATCTTCGTGGAACATACTGTACAAAGTTTTACAGAACTGGATAAATTCTCTCTGGAATAAAAAAAAGGTATACAGCAGCATAACCAAGATGGGAATATAATGCATTTTTTTAAAATTTGATACTGGGCTGGCCAAGTGGCTCAGTTGGTTAAGAGCACAAGCTCTGAGAAACGGTCACTGGTTCGATTCCCACATGGGCCAGTGAGCTGTGCCCTAGCTGAGCTGCCAATAGGTGGCAGGATGGCTCAGCTGGTGAGAGGACATGCTCCTAACAACAAGGTTGCCTGTTTGAGATGGTGGGCTACGCCTGCCTGCAACTAAGGACTGAACTCGGCACCTTGAGCTGAGCTGCCACCTGGGTAGCTCGGGATAGAGCGGCGCACTCTTAACAACAAGGCTGACGGTTTGACTCTCGCATGGAATGGTGGCTACGCCCACCCGCAACTAATTGAACACAGCACCTTGAGCTGAGAGGTGCGACTGGACTTGGAGCTGAGCTTGCTGTGCCCTCCACAACTAAGATTGAAAGGACAACAACTTGGCTGTTCCTCTTCCCCAATTAAAAAACAAAAACCTTGATACTTAGTTCTGGGCGAACTTATTTGAAGCTGAATGTAAGAAGGTAGTCTCTGCCCTTTGACTCCAGGGAATTTCAGCCCACTCACAGGTGTGCTATTTGTCTACACAGCAACTATTAAGAAATGTGCATAAACTAGAGGATACGCACACCCTATAACCTAGCAAGTCAACTTGTAGACATGCATCCAAAAGCTATGCATAGATCTGTTTATAGGGATGTTTAAGCTAAGGGTTATAGTAGAAAAAAAGTTGGGAACAGCTTAATTATGGCTAAAATTATGGTTCTGGTGGGATCCCATGCAGCAACTAAAGGCTATAAAATGTATGACGGTGGTGCCTGGTGCTTTCTCACATTCACACTCCTGTCCACACTGGACTCTATTGTGATGAGATGCTCCATGTGGAATTACACTGCACGATTACTCTAGGAATAGCAAAATGGTGGGGGACTACTTTAATAAATACATAATGATTTGGGAGAAATATCTAAATGAAAAGAAGGTATTGACAGCCAATTTTTGTTTATAGGAAAAAAAAGTTGATGTTAAATGTGTGTCGGGGCTGGCTGACTGGTTCGTTGGTTGAGAGTTGGCTTGGGAGTGTGAGCTCTCAGCAACCGGGCTGCCAGTTCAGATCCCACATGGGCCAGTGATGGTGTACCCTCTACAGCTAAGATGGTGAACAACAGCTCGACCTGGAGCTGGGCTGCCGTGAGATACCACGAGTGGCTGGCAGCTGCTGTGAGGGGCTGTCCGATGGCCGGCAACCGAACTGCCTCACCCAGGAAGAGCGCAATGATAATACCAACATGGGCCAGTGAAGCGACGTCCTCCACAGCTAGACTGAAGAACAAAAAGGACAGCAACTTGTCTGTTCCCCTTCCCCCAATTCCCCAGCACTGTTCCCTCCCCCAATTCCCCAATAGAAGAAGACAACAACAAAAAAAAAACATGTGTGTCAGAATACTGACAGCTCTGGGAGATGAGATTTAACTGGCTTTATATCCAGGGAGTAGAAAAAAAAAACATTTGAAAGCAACTCCCTCCGCACAGTAGAGCAACACTTCCCAAATATGTCAGAAACGAATCCCACAAAATGGTTTGTGGTAAAAAAAAAACCCTAAATTCCACTCTCAAAGGCTCACAGTCCATACTGGCACCAACAAAGATTTAGGTTCTATAGTAAAAGATAGGTTTCAACTTAAAGCCTACATTTCCCAAACATTGGGAGGACCCCTTTTAAAACAAAAGGACCTGCCACCTCATATGAGGCTTGAATGTCGAGAACCCTCTTGTGGAGACTGCTAAGATTTCAGAGACTTATCAGTACTATGTATTACGAAGTCAGTGATTTTCAAGAAACAAGAGTAAGGGGGTATGCTGCATCCACACCCCCAAATGCTTCTGTCGCTCAAGGGAATAAATCATAACCTGGGTAAGTGAATTTGATATAAAAACTTAAAAGACGTGAAGTGTGGTAGCCTGTTTTGAAGAGCTTTGACTATCTGAATGGATCACATTTAAATATTTACCACTTAATCACCACGATGTTCAGCTAGAAGTTACAAAATCCTTTGATTATGGCTTTGGAGGTAAAGGGGCCCTGGCTTAATCAAGCTTCCCAACAAATCATTTGGCAAAATGATTTATTCTGTGTATAGAGTCCCAAGTCCGTACCTGACTCATTTTCGGCAACTCAGTCTCCCCTTTGTCTTTTTCTTTGGCTAAATCCTTAATCATCTGCTTCAGCTGTTTCTGATAATCACTTGTATCACCTGAGATAAAAGAAACTCTATATAATTTAATCCAAATAAATTCAATGAAAGCGATAATATGCGGAAGGGGATGGTAAGGGGAAGAGGTATTCCACCGAGCAAATCCATATGCAAACTGAGAAGCGCAGATGACATCACAGGGACAGTTGGTTCTGCAACTGACCACGAATGGAGTGTGGCAGCTGGGGACTCCTCTTGCTACAAGAGGACCCTGAAACATTGCTTAAGCAAGAGCAATAAACATGTAGGGTCAAGGGGCAGTCACCCCTTAGACTGTAACTCGGGAAGGTTTCTGGCCTCTGGAAGCAGTGTTATCTCAGAAGGGAGCAGATAAGTCAGCTTCTAAGAAAATCACGAAGTCTTGTGCCTGACGGAAGGTAACAATGAGACATTAAGGTAACAATGAAAGAGGTACGTGCCATTTGATTTCCCAAAAACCAGGGGTCTTGATGTCGACAGCAGAGGATTCTTTAATGGTGACTGGCTGTCTCGGTCATTTTCAGTGAGTGCTTAAAAAAAAAAAAAATTGTCTTAGCCAAAACCAAAGCATTTTAGGTAAGAAAGAACTAAAGGCTAAACTGGCAGCCTTTGGGCTACAGAGTTTTTAGGGTCTGAATCCAGGTGTACACCAAGCACTGAAGAGACAGTAAAGAAAACATCATACACACCAGGTAATGCCTTTTCCTGGGCCTATGTAGATACTGTTGTAATTAATGACACAAATTTACAGGACATGGTTGATACTGACCTGCAAAAATGGATGTAGTAAGATCCCATTTTGTAAAATTTAAATTCATGTACGTAAATACACAAAAATAACAATTATTGGAATCCTGATAACACTGCTGGTGGAAACAAAGTGTTAGAGCCATTTTGGAAAACAGTCTGGCAGTTCCTCACAAAGTTAAACATGAATTACCACTCAGCCCAGAAAGTCCACTAGGTATAAACCAAAGGGAAATGAAAACATACCCACTCAAAAACTTGTACACAAGTGTTTGTAGCAGCATTGTTCCTAAGAGCCAAAAAGTGGAAACAAACCCAAATGTCCATCAGTGAGTGAATGGATGAAGAAGCTATGGCACTCCCATAGCTGGAGTATTGAATTAAACAATAAAAAGGAATGGAGCACTGATACATGCTATGACATGGATGAACCTTGAAAACATACCAAGTAAAAGCAGCCAGATACAAAACTGCATACCTTGTATGATTCCATTTATATGAAAAGTCGAGAATAAGCAAACTACAGACGGGGAAAATGAACTGGGGGCAATGGCTTAAAGGTATGGGCTTTCTTTTTGGGGCAATGAAAATGTTCTAAAGTTGTGGTGACAGTTGCATAACAATATACTAAAAATCATTGGATTGTACACTTTAAGTGAACTGTAGATCAATAAAGCTGTTAGAGGGTCGGCCAAGTGGCGCATTGGTTGAGTTGGCTTGGGAGCGCCAGCTCTGAGCAGCAGGGCCCTGGTTCGGATCCCACAAGAGGGCCAGTGACGCTGTGCCCTCTACAGCTAAGATGGTGAACAACAGCGCGACCTGGAGCTGGGCTGCCATGAGTTGCCGGCGACAGCATAGGCTGCAGCAGGGCTGTAGTGGGCTGCTGTAAGCTACCGTAAGTGGCTGGCAGCCAGCGTGAGCAGACAGCAGCTGGCGTGAGCTGCCGTGAGCCGCCATGAGCGACCATCCAATGGCGGCGAGAGACTGCCTGACCCGGGAAGAGCGCAACGATCACAATACAAACACAGGCCCGTGAAGCGACGTCCTCCACAACTAGACTGAAGAACAAAAGGAGAGCAACTTGTCTGTTCCCCTTCCCCAGTTCCCCAGCGTTGTTCCCCTCCCCCAACTCCCCAATAAAATCTTTTTAAAAAATAAAGCTGTTAGAAATAAAACTAAAGGGGATTACAGACAGGATCCTCCTATTTTAAAAAGGTTGAAGCTTAAACTAGTATAAGCCATTCACAGAAGAAATCAAAGGCAAAATTCAATTGTGATTGAACAAATATCCACAAGATGGCACCAAAGCCTTGAAAAGCTACCCTTCTTCCTTGGAAGGTAGGTTTCGGGGTGGTTTTTTTTTTCTATAACAAAGATACTGAGTCTATTTTGCTTGCTTGCTCGTTTGTTTTTTTAACCAACTTTTCTCAAAACAAATTCTACCCAGTAGCACACGTGACAATCCACTCAGAAACTGAACAGCAGGAAAATTACAAACCCTGGATGGTAGTTGGGGCAGTCATGATGGAAAAGGATTTCCTAGGTAATAGCTCCTGAGAAGTCCAGAGCATACTGGGTCCCTACCTTCAAAGAGCATGGTATATCAAACAGGAGAAATGTACACAACTCACTCTAACAAAATGCTCTAACAGAAGAACCAACACACAAATGTCACGGGAGCACAGAGTGGAACAAATAATTCAAGGGGTGGGTGAGTGTCCAGAAAGGAGGCAAGTGAAGAATCAACAGTGACGCGGGACCAGAAGCCAACCAACCACATACAGAAAATGTCACCCAGACTGGACACTAGGGGACACTGGAGGAGGCTTGGAGCTCGCTGAAAGAAACTTACCTATTTATGATCAGAAATAAAGGATACAATGCATTAGGGAACAATCAAATGTACTCTCAGCCTTTTTAAATGAGCTATTTGAACTAACATAAATGTAGTGTTATTTTTATATTCCATTATATGTATAATTCATAATTCAAGACTAAATGGGGTAACAGACATTACTCTTTAAGGTTTTCATTGTGTCACTCACTTCAAGGACTGCACAAGTTAAACTCTGATGAATGATTTACATTTGGTTATCTGAAACTCCCTTATCTGCTGGAAGAGTACATCTGCTTTCAACACAATGTGTCCTTCAGATGTCATTGAGATGCTATAGTCATCACAATACCATTCTCCGTCATATTTCTTGCAAAGGCAACACAGTGCTTCCTCCTACCACTACATTGTGGTTGGAAAAAGCAAATTAAATTATAGGACTTGCATTTGTATTAATTAGGAATTCTGATATATCCAAGTCATAGATAGGAAAATCAACTAAAGTATCCAGCTTGTGTTTCAGATATCTACTGTAAAAAGATCACTTGAGATGTAACAAGTGCTAGACGTTGGGATCATACATCCAATTTCTTAGTGGATTTCTGACAATTGGGATAATACCAGGGATCTCACTTTTCTTTTAAAGAGTATAGTGCAGGGGTGGCTGGTTAGCTCAGTTGGTTAGAGTGCTGGCTCATAATGCCAAGGTTGCCGGTTCGATCCCCACGTGGGCCACTGACCTGCATCCTCCACAACTAGATTGAAACAACTACTTGAAGCTGCTGGGTCCTGGAAAAAAAAACCAGTTCCCCAATTAAATAACAAAAAAAAGTTCAGTGCAAACTTAGTTTCACAAAAGTTTTTTTTTTTAGGTTTGTGTTCTACACTCTTCATAGGCAATTTTCAAAATCTTCAAGTTGCATTTTTAACTCAATCCCAGTCCAAAAACAGATCTCATCCAGCCTGTTGTCTCTCACCAAATCAGGTGTGCCTGATATCATTTCTGACATGGTTGATGTCAGTATTGCCTAAGTTGGCAGACCGGGATGTAAACACTGCTTTTTTGTGTGTCCTGTGAGAAGTTGACCTTTGCAAGTTTCCTCATACATCATTTTCAAAATCGTTACTTCCTCCAACTGAATCTTCACATTGTTTCCATTCTCTGAGGGAAGTTCTTGATCCTGGGTGGGATCATCATTTAGCTCATCTGTTTCCACTTCATTTGGGAGCATTCATGTTTGCACTGGGCCATTCCCATTAATAATTTGGTCCTTAGTGGGCAGCCAGTTAGCTCAGGTGGTTAGAGCTCAGTACTCATAACACCAAGGTTGCCAGTTTGATCCCCACCTGGGCCAGTGAGCTGCACCCTCCACAACCAGATTGAAGACAACTACTTGACTTGGAGCTGATGAGCCCTGGAAAAATACACTGTTCCCCAGTAAAAAAATAATAATTTGGTCCTTAGAGCAGTGTAGTGATCCTTCAGTTTCTTAGATGTCAGGAGGTATTTTGGCATATTAGCACATCCAAGAGCAGGAGATTAGAGTTTATTTTCAGTGTTGTTTTTTAATATAACCATAAGAAAAGGCCAACCAAAAAGTGAAGAACCAATATGGCGGGTGTAATCTGAGTGCCAAACTTTTCTTAGCCCAACATTAGTCATCACATGCTTTGCATCTTTGGTCCTGTTGATGTTAATTTCAAACACATAATATCCCATTCTGTAATACTGCTGAGGTTTTCATCCACAGTGGATATTCTGGGAAGTCTAAGATTGTATATATCAGTACCTATCATCTGCAGGTACTCTTAACAAAGCAATGTCATGCAAAGACCTTGTATATTTCCAATTGTACTGCACAGGTCTAGAAAAGTGGGTCCATTCCAAGTAAATTAAACTTCCAAAGTACATTTTTTTAATCATGGGCCATGGAACAAAACAGAGTTTGTCAAGTAACAAAATGGATCAGATGGTACTGAAATCTTAGCATATGCAGGACTTTTTTTTTAATATGAGTTTTCATACTAAGAATATTGAAATGGCTACATATGATTCCTGATTAGACTTTTAAGTAATGACCTCTTCAAAACAGACTGTCACTATCACGAGAAGGTAGAAGCAAATGGCATTTTTCTCTACTTGATGGAAACTCTTTTCTTGTCATTACCTAGAGCTTGAATGGTTCAGATGTTTTGATTTTACCTCAAGTGTGTGGTCATTCTGCATGTCAAACAGTTTCTCCCTTAGTGACAAATGTAATGTTGAAAATTTTTGGCTAATACAACTGGACTTGGAATCCAACATTTTTTCACATCAGGTATTTCAAAACAACAAAGCTTTTCCTCCTTCATGCACAGGTTTTGCTGTATTAGCCTGTAATTATGTTTCAGGATTCCAAGTTATCACTGACTAAACACTAATGAAGCATTTATAACCTCATTCTTCTCTAAGTTGAATTTTTGCTTTGAACCCATACTCTGTTACGTGTTAATATATTTTCATGTGCTCTTTCAGTTTGCAATTAAGTTCATTCAGGATTTCAACATTTTCAGTCTTTTTAAATAACCATCTTTAACAAAACTGCAAACTGGAATTATTCATAAGATTCCTTTTAATTCAACTTCTTGACAAAACTCTTCCTTTGGATAGCAAACACACTTTGGTATGTGTAAGACCTCAGAAATCTCTACTTCTTCCCATAGGCTGAACACAAAGACTGGAGCACCTCTAATTTTATTACATTCAACATGTTAAGATCCATTTAGTGTGGATCCAGATGGGCAGGGAAAGCTTTTGGAGAGCTACCTGCCAGTGTAACAGCGTATTCCCTGAATCTCAAGAGTCCTCGGAGGAAGTCCTGACGTCAGCTCTGCGCTGTGTGTGTGTGTGTGTGTGTGTGTGTGTGTGTGCGCGCGCGCACCTTACAGAAAGCCTCTAACACCACACTCCTGTGTTTTTACCATTCCCAGTACAGCATTCTCAGTGGCTTTTTTTTTTTTTAACTTTATTGGGGAACAGTGTGCTTTTCCAGGACCCATCAGTGCCAAGTCAAGTCATTGTCTTCAGTCTAGTTGTGGAGGGCGCAGCTCACTGGCACATGTGGGAATTGAACCGGCAACCTCAATGTTAAAAGCCTGCACTCTAACCACCTGAGCTAACCGACCGCCCCTCAGTGGCTTGTTTTGATGCTTCTTTTTAATGAATCTAATGTTCTTCCAGGAAACTGTCTTTTGAAGTCTAATTAGTACAATTAACTGAGCAAAATGACCAATATCTATAGATTTATCAATCTGCATTGAAAACACCAGATTTAATAATAGGGAATACTCTTCATCCCTATGTCACCTGATATGGTATCATCTGGAATATTGTTTCATTTGATAAGTGGTGTTGCAGTCACCATGGAGCCAGTACAATGCACTCTTCCAGAACTGAGTCTCTGGGCCTAGCGCATCTCTGCTTCCTGAGCTGTAGCAGATCCTTTGGGAGCAAGCTCACAAAAGCCCTCTGCCTCCTGGACCCTCGCTGAGTTCCAAGCGCTCTGCACAGGTGGGTGTGTGAGACCGGGAGCTGATGTGCCTCGGTGGTACCCGCCTCCCGTCAGGCAAGTAAGACACATCACCTTTCAGGCACACAAATTCAAACTTGTAATTCTCCATGTACTTCCTAGTTAGTTCAACTTTTTTTCTGTCTAGTGTGTTTGTTCCACCTTTAATCAAAAAATTATTATGGTGGAAAATAAATATTTGTTTAAATTAAATCTATTTAAGTGAAAAGTACTTAAATGTATTGTGGATTTTCGTGGCCTGGTCAAGTTGATGTGTTTAGAGGTTTTAGGGTCCACATTCTGAAGACTTAATTTTTAACTGCGTAATAAATTCAAATGTTAAATATAGGTAAGCAAAATATCAAATTTTAATTTCCACTTAATTTAAATTCAGTGTCACACAGTATAAACACTACAATCACGTATGTTCAAAAAGGTTTTGGAAAATTGATTTTCTGAAGCCATGAAGGTCTACAAGTGCCTTTAATGAACTAATATAATTCAAATGTCTTTTGGAAATAAACTTGTAATTTGGAAAATAATTCAATATGAAGTTAGATTAAGAATCAAATCTCAATCTCAAATGGTAATATCAAAAAGCAGGAATGAATTTAAAGCTACATCAAGAATGATATCTATACTATCTTTGTAACTTCTGTAAATCTAAAATTATCCCAAGAGAAAGCTTATTTAAAAATCAGAATAAAGTTGAATAAAATAAAATCACTCATGTTCTCTTTAGCAACTCCAGATACAGTGATTATGAAAAGAGGATAATAGTGACGATAATAAAGGAATAATTATGCATGTATTCTATGTTGGTAAGAAAATGTTTGTGAAAAATAAGATCAAATTAAATAAAAAACAAAACTTAATACCTTATATTGGCATAAAAGGCAAAACTTCACTGATGCCAAACAGCACTAAAGCACTGGGTCCCAGGGAAGGTGGAGGAGAGCCGTGCGTGGCTGAGAATGCCCTCTGCAGGTCACATGCATAATGTGTTATATGCTGATTGAGGAAAGGCCGAATGAACACAGGAAGGTGCCCAGAAAGCCCACAAATAACATCTATGTGCTAGTTCAACTTCTGTACAGTTGTCAGCTGTAAACGCCACCAGGATCTCGTGGCCGTGGAAACCTCCCAGCCCACCAGCTGCCCCAGGCGCCGTCACTGGGAAGTCCCATCGGAGGCCTCATCCAGCACCAGGGCCAGGCACTAAGGCCCCAAGACCCTCTGGAATTCCTGGCCCACCTCTCTCAGTTTCCGAGGTCCACAGAATCCCTTAAGGCTAACCCCAAGTCTGATCCATAGGTTTCAAAACTGTTCCTTGTTCCTGGCTACCACTGCTTAAATTTGAAGGAAGCATGGTTTTCCATGCTAGAAAAATGACATGGCCCTTCAAACACAGCAGGGTCAAACAGCCCCCAGGGGCTTGGCTTCCCCACACCTTCCACAGGCCAGGGGTTCACAGGTGTGGTGCGTCAGACATGGGCGGGGCCCAGAAACCTGTGTTCCACACAGTCCCACAGCACGCTCGAGTCCAAAGGAAATTTAAAAGCAACTTCAGTGTTGTGCACAAAGCAGGCAGGACAGCCTGATTTTTCTACTTGGAATTTCTTACCTGGAGGGATATGAAGCCTATATAACAGTTTAATTTTCTCATTCATTTCTCCATTATACATAACATCTGCCAAAAAATGAGAGAGAGAGACTGAGTAGATGCAAATGGTTAAAGTATACTTGTCATGACACAAACTCACTGTGGAGAGAAACTTCCTAAGGTCAGCACTTGTTGACCCAACACTTCCTCTGCCCCTACCCCCCCAACACACACTGTTTGAAATGAAAATGTGAGAGGTCAGTGACTGGTGACTCTTGAGCCACAAGATAACCTTATCAACTTTGGCCTCCTATTGTCTGTACGATTTTAATTTTATGTGCAAATGTTAGGAACATGGCTCCTAACAAGCCACCACCACACCCTGGGCGCCATGGAGAACAAGGTCAATGACCTTGTATGTTAAGCGCCTGGGTCCCTCTCCCCACACTTCTCTAAGGAAGCAAAAACAGTCATGAGAGGAGCCTGCAGAGCACTTTTTGTAAATCACAAAATCATGGCAGGCAAGTAACAAATACATTTCATTGTGTGGATCCGCCTGCCTCACAATCCACTCACATCCCAAATCAAGTCACTGCAATAAAGACCCACAGTCATACCGAGACAGCTCACAAACGCTTTGAATTCAATGAGGTGGTCCATGTTGTCATCTAGAAGCCTGAAAGTCCTCTCTGCCAGGATCTCCGTGTGGGCCCCACAGGTCCATGGCGAGACAAGCTGAAACAGGTGTGCGAACTGCTGCGCATCTATGCGATACTGCTCTGCGTAGGGCCTGCTGGGGTCGTGGCGAGGGGCCATGGGCCGGGGCTGCTCCCAGTAACAGCTCATCATATGTTCTCTCTAAAATGGGGGAGAGGGGTTCTGAGAGATCGCAGCACACTTACAAGGCTACCATGGCCTCTTGAGACTGACTGCCTCGTAAAATTACTATGTACTGAATAAGCATTATAACACAAATGAAAAAAAATTAAGTTACTCATAATCTCATTAACCCAGCATATAAATGTGTTTCCTTGTTACCTTGTAGTCCTTGCCCACATGAGTATGTAATTTTGACATTTTTTTCTTTTAAGGTTTTTTTATGTATATTTATATAGCAAATATACACAACAAAATTTACCATTTTAACTATTTTAAAAAGTACAGTTCAGCTGCCACAGTTTTAATTATAGAAGACATACAATTTTTAATCTGATATTTTCTCTTAAAATCACATTATTTGAAAGTCAGAAAAGTACTAGACAAATCTATAGCATACAAAGAAACGAGCCACACTGGTTACCTGTGAGGCGGCGGCGTGGGGGTTGGGACACAGATGTGGAAGCATGTCTTTTTAATGCATCCTTTTTTATATGATCTGAATTTTGGCTTTATTAGCAATTCAAAGAATTTTTTTTAAAAAGGCGATTTCAGGTCTTGGGAATAGACTGGAAACTAAAGCAATCAAAATTGGCCCTGTCACTGAGGATCAGCTGAGCCTCTTTAGAGGACATCTTTTAAGTCACCTCTTGGGATATCTCAACTCACTGGAACAGTCAGTGACTGAAGATGCCTCATCATTTCAATGCCCTCTGCCCACAGGGATGGCACAGAAACAAGCGTCAGCACATACTCCATTTTGAACATTTCCAAATGCCATTTACAATTTTACTGTCACATTTCATTGCAGCCATGTTCTTTAAATACCCTTTGGGTCATAAAAAGTACCACAAAGGTCTAATAAATTTCTGTTCCTGAAAACCCAAGACACACTAGGAATTCCCCATGTACGTTAGTGCATCCTGTGATGCGAAAGGCCCACAGAATTCTGCCCAGAAGAAAACTGTTATAAAATGTAGGCCAAGGATGAATCCAACCAGTTTACTTAGACTCCCACAGAAAATGGACCAGTAGAAGACGAGGTCAAGGATATGGACAGGTGATACAGAGAAGTATACAACTAGCCAATAAACCCATCAAATGGTACTTCACCTCATTCATGAGTAAACAAATTTAAATTAAGAGAAAATGGAATTTTCCACAAGACTAGCAAAATTTTGAAAGATCCATAATATTCAACAGTGGGTGAGTGTGGCATGGGTAAATGCGCACTTAGACAACCGCAGTGAAACTGAAATTTGGAAAATCCAAAACACTAGCAGTATTGACAAGAAATGTGGCTTGTGCGTCCCATCACACATAAACAGCAGCACCGATGTCCTGATAAAGGCACGAGGATGTTCACTCAGCACAGCACTGTTTATGAAGCAGCAAAAAATTTCAAACATGAATGTCCCTCAATAGGCAAATAAATTTCAAATCTGGTTCAGCCCTACCATGAAATTGTGCAGCCATTTAAAAAGAATGACAAGATCTATCGGTATCTAGAAAAATGTGCATGATAAAAAAAACTGCAGGCCATTATGTCCAGCACAATCTCACTTTTATGTGGAAAAAAAAGTTGTGTGTGTGTGTTTGTGTGTGTGTGTGTTTAGCGAGAGATACAGTATAAGGGGGGGAAATCAGGAAAGAGAGTCACCATACTGTGAACAGTAATTACCTGTACACGGTAGGATTGTAGGTGAGAGTGGGAATAATTTTACTTTCTTGTGTGTTTTTAATTACATTTTGAAAATGAAAGTCTTAATCACAACATGGAAGCAAGCAAAATAGTATTAGAGACCAAATGTTCTCTGGAGCCTGGTAGTCTAGCAACAGTGAACGAATGTCACTGGCCATTAGGAGAGCAGGCTGATGGCAGCCATAAGGCATGGTTTCAGGGGCCAGGTGTTTCCAGAAGCAGCCTGTGACGCCGAGTGTGAGTTATACTGTTCACGTCTTACTTGGAAAGATAAGATTAATGAAGCTGGGAGAACAGCAGGTGGACATCACAAATCTGAATTTATTTAGATTTAGAAGATTGTTTTACAACTAGAGGGCATTATGCTAAGTGAAATGAGTCAGACAGAGAAAGACAAATACCATATGATTTCACTTACATGTGGAATCTAAGAAAGAAAAAACCCCAAACTCATAGAAAAAGAGATCAGACTTGTGGTTACCACAGGTGGGGGGAAGGGGCGAGTGGGGGAACTGGGTGAAGGGAGTCAAAAGGTACAAACTTCCAGTTAGTTCTAAGATGTAATGTACAAAATAGGACGGCTATAGTTAACACTGTTGCATGGCATAATTGAAAGTTGCTAAGAGTAAATCCTAAAAGTTGTCATCACAAGGAAAAAAGCTTTTTTTTTTCTTTTTTTTTTTTTGGTATGTATAGAGAAGATGGATGTTGGCTAAACTTACTGTGGTAATCATTTCACAGTATATGTAAGTCAAATCATGATGTATGCCTTAACCTTATACAGTGCTGTGTGTCAGTGATATCTCAACAAACTTAAAGAAAAAAAGAACTGCATCAAAGGACAAAAACAGATCACTTTAAATTAACAATAAAAATAGATTTCATTAAGTGCTAACCACATCGTTCATCTTTAATCAGAAAGAATATGTAAAGATGACAGAGCTGACTATTTCTCGTTAACACAGGGAATGGTCGGTCACGCCTGTACACTGCAGGCTTAGGGAAGGATGCAGAGAAGTTACGGAATGGACTGCTTATCAAGAGCCTATTGCACATTTATAAGACGATGTGAGGGTCTCTGTGTGTGGCCCTTTCCCTTGAGGAAATGAAATTATGATTCAGAAGACAAGAGATGTATGTAAAAGCTAACTAGAGAACATCATGCCCTATAATATTTAATCAAGTATTGAGATAAGTGAAATGGGAAAGCCAAGGAAATTCAGAGATCAGGAGCACAGGATAAAGGATAGTCTGAGAGGGCCGTTAAGTGGGCATGACACTGGCTCTGGGCCTGGAAGGAAGGCGCTGGGGTGGGTGCAGAAAGGAGGAACCTCAGTTGCACAACAGAATTAGGCACCATGACTCTATTTTACTGGAATTTCCTTTGGAAATAAATTTTGAAAATCATCTTGTAGTTAGTTTTTTAAAATTTTATGTTTATAGTTAGTCATACATAAACGAAAAACTCATAGGGGTAACTATAAATATGGAAATAAATTTCATTAAGTGCCAACCACATCATTCACAGGAAAGATAGACATAGCAAACAAGAAATAGTCAGCTCTATCTTCTTTAAAAACTCTTTGTAGTCAAGATGAAGGACATGGTTAGTACTTAATGAAATTTATTTTTATAATCAATTGAAAACAATCTTTTAAATTATAGAAATTCATTTTTGTGATGTGTCTTATACTTGCAAATTGCAAACGGTTAATCCTAAACAAATGAAAGCCTTCTTGTGCTAAACATACATCTGTTTACCTGCTTTTATGTTTCTACTATTCCTTGTTTTTCCTCCTTGAAAGTCAGAGGGCTTGGGACATACAGTAACCTTTGACTGCATTTTCTCTAGGCAAGAGGAAATTATAAAACTTGAAAACAGGTAATGTTTACAGGAGACATGGGCCAAGACTCCTGCTTATTAGGAATGGGGAATGCCAGGAATCGAAAAGCCAACAAGCTATTTCAGTGACTGCAGGGCAATGTGCCAGGCAGGACAGGGCACACAATGGGTTCGGACGCCCTGGAAGGCACTGCTTAGAAGTACCTGCCATGCTGCTTATCACTATTTCAACTGTGTTGGCAATGTGCAATCAAAGGGAACAGCAGCTCAGGTCCCCATCAGGAAGAGCTCTGGAGGCCCGACTCTCGTGGATGCTGGATATGCTTTCTGCAACTGCCCTTTCTCCCCTGTCACGGCCGGTGGGTCAGGCGTGGGTCAGCGTGTCTGCTGCTCTTCCCCACTTTTAGTGACTGTTTTGCACAAGAAGATTTCTAGCAAGGCACTTAATATGTTCCTTGCTGGGTAAGTGAAGTAGCAAACTTGAGAATCTTACCTAAATAACCAAATATTAGATATATGGTTTAGTATGTTAGTTATTACCAATATGCTAATTATGAAGTTATTTAAAAACGATTAAAACTACATGGCAACATGGAAAAGTGTTAACGGCATCAAGGGAAAACAGAATGTAAGCTAGCATGGATACCACCACACAAACATAAAAATGTATACATATACTGTGGGTGGGATTATGGGTAATTAAAAAGTGTACCAAGGGACAGTTTCCATAGGGTCACTGTCCCATCTACTACGGATTGAGAACTCAGTGTAGTGGCTCTAGTGTGCGGGCTGCTAAGGCTAAGGCTAGGCTAAGGCTAAGCAGAGCTGGCAGGTGGGGCAGCTCAGCCTCTGCTGTCACAGAACAGGCACAGGACAGCCCCCTCCGGCTTCCACATGTCACCCCTGGGCAGGCTGACAATGTGGCTTTGGGCCTGGCCCAGGGCCTGCCACTCACTCATCTTCCCAGACTTTCATACCTTGAATAAGTCATACAGTTCCTCGAGGTCTTCAGGAAGAATTGAGACTTCTGGGGTGACAACACGGAGCTTGAAGAAAGAATGGACAGTAATGGAGTGAGTTCTCTGCCTACATCTGGGAGGATCAAAAGGAGGAGGGGGCTCTTCCTGCTACAGTGGGACACCAGGCGCCCAGTGTCAACTTCCCTGTCACCCCTTTCTGACACAAAGATCATTTCATGGGAACGTTCTTATGTGACTGTCCTCAACCTTTCTAATACACACAGCAGGGCCTCAGACAAACCACACATTCTAATGGCAGCTAAGCCCTAGCAAAGACAGCCCGGGCAGGAAGCTCCCCCTGAATAACAGCTAACTCTGCAAGCCATGTGTGCTGGACGTTTTCTACATCCCACCTCCTTTAACCCACACCCCGGCATGACCATCTTCATTCTATAGCCAGGGAATTGGAGGCTCATGGTGGTGCTCACAATCTGTCTGACTCTAAAACCCATGCTGTTTCTAGACCGCATCAAACCTATTACGTTTTTGATTCAATGCGAGAAAAAAACACACAAAAAACACTGGCGTTCTTACGTTAGAAATCAACAGGGACACCCCAGTCAGCGAATGGCCACACTGAGGCAGCCTCGACTCACCACATTCTGCTTTGTGGTGTCCTCGTGGCCTTGGAGAACCCTGATCCGGTGCCTACAACGCATGCGCTCGATCTGCTCCACAGACTGGTCTCCAAATTTCTGCAGGGAGACCAGGGGCCACTCAGACTTCCTTCTGTACAGAGGACACAGAAGCAGCCCGGAACCCTCCCTCATGTCCAATTCCCTGGCAAGCTCCGCGGGGTGGGGTGGGACAGGGCCAGTTACCTCGTAGGAGTCCCGGATCAGGTCGGCAATGTCAGTCACAGGGGAGGGCTCCTGGTCGTCGGAGAAAAAGGCATGGTGGCTGCCAATTCGGGGTCCAGGGCTGTCCTCATTCTTAATGTGATCTAGAAACCTGAGCACATCACCTGGCATTAAAGCACAGGTTGACTCTCACCTGGGCACCACACGCACGCACTCCCTTCACAGGGGCCACTAGACGTGTCGCAACACTTCAAACACAGTGCATCTGTCTCCATACACTGGGAGGAGGGCAAGGTAGCGAACACTGTGGTCCTTTTAGAGAGAGCGAGAGACGGCCATAAGCCAGACTCATCGACCTGGGCTCCACGGGTAGGTTCCTGGGGTCTGTGACTCCCCAGTGAAGTAAACACAACACTCTGTGCGTGCACGCAGGTTTAAGCTTCCACACAGTTCTGAAAGGGACCCCTTCCTTTGTCAGCCAACTTGCCCTCAGCTCCCAGAGACCCAGATTCCAGTCCGAGGCCTGGTGGGACACACCAGCCCCTACACATAAAATGTCACAACTGTCCAGTTGGCTGCCCGATGCCAACATTTCCCAGTGCCTGTCCCTGTTTCAAGGTTACTTTGAGTCTCTCTAGACTTAAGACTTCTGAATCTCCTCGGAGAAAAGCACTGACAGCCCTCTGTATTCCTGTTGGACACCCTCACTTGGTAGAGAGGAGTGAGGGAAGATGGTGCTCTTCACCACACGCATATGACAGTGCCACCGGACATCCTGGCTCGAGGAGGATCTCAGGGTGACAAGCGACAGAGTGGAAGGAAACACTTCCACAGTAACAGCCCTGCTGGGCCCCTGCTGCTGCCGTCTCCGGCCATCTGACTTCCAGGGTTCCAGCTGCTGCCCGCTTCCCGCCCCGGGCAGCCACGAGGGCCGGCAGCCAGGCGCACCTGCTGAGGACCATCAAGGCCTGGCCGTCGTCCTTGCTGCTGCACAGGTCCTCGGCATTGGCTTCCAGCACCGCCAGCCCCAGCTGGAAGATGGCTTTGATCCCATCGTAGAAGAAGCAGTCTACAACGTTCACCGCGCTCTCCAGAGGCATAATGCTGAGGAACAGAGTCAGGAACCACGAGAGCGAGACGGACGCCAGGGCTGAGGGGTCGTTCAGGTGCTCCGCCAGTTCAGGCAAGTGCTCCTTGATGAGCTCCTCGAACACGGACTGGTCCACTTGGGCCCCTGGGGAGGGAAGGCCACTGGTCAGAAAGACTCGCTCTCTAAAGTTAGCCTGAAATCAGATCTGCTCTGAGGTATGCACAACAGAGAGTCCAGAAAAGACTCAGGCTTCATTAACTGAGTTTTGACGTTATTCGGTGGGGATAGTATTTTCAGAAAAATCAAGGATATCTGTACGCAGGGCGGGGAAGAACCTCAATCCCTACTTTACCCCACACAGAAAAATGCACTTAAAATGTGTCACAGACCTAAATATAAATTTATAATACTATAAAACATCTAAAAGAAAATATAGGAAAAAGGCAAAATTTCTTAGGACATTGAAAGCACTAACCATAGAAAAAATTATAAATTAGGAGCAGCCCCTTAGCTCAGGTGGTTAGAGCGCAGTGCTCATGACACCAAGGTTGCCGGTTCAATCCCCACATGGGCCACTGAGATGCGCCCTCCACAACCAGATTGAAACAACTACTTGACTTGAGCTGATGGGTCCTGGGAAAACACACTATTCCCCAATTAAAAAAAATAATAATAAGGGTAAATTTTTTTTAAAACTTATAAATTAGACTTCAAAGTCATGTTCTTCGAAAGACACCATTAATAAAATGAAAACGCAAACTTCAAACTCAGGAAATATTTGCAATAAGTACAATTGACAAAGATCTTGTATTCAAAATAAAGAACTTCTGCCACTCAGTAATAAGAAGTCAGTAACCAAATTTTTTAAATAAGAACAAGATTTCAATAGACACTTCAAACGAGATGATAAATTGGGCCGGCCGAGTGGCGCATTGGTTAAGAGC